AGGCCACAGCAATGGCTTTCTTAGGCTTTCAAAGCTGCCGTTTGCCAGCCCGCAAACCCTCCAAAACTCTCCAAAACTCTCCAAAACTCTCCAAACCCTCCAAACCCTCCAAACGCTCCAAACCCTCCTAAACCCGCCAAACCCTCCAAACACCGTCCCCAGCAGGCACCTCAGATCCACAGCAATGACTTTCTTGATGCTTTCAAAGCTGCCTTAACAGGGGGCCAGGGCCACAGCAATGACTTTCTATGGGCCTCAATGCTGCAGTTTGGGGGGCCAGGGCCACAGCAATGACTTTCCATGGGCCTCAAAGCTGCAGTTTGCCAGCCTGCAAAGGATCCAAACTTCCAAAATTCCAAACACCTTCCCCAACATGCACCCTAGGGCCAAGGCCACTTCCCCAACAGGCACCCCAGGGCCAGGCCACAGCAATGGCTTTCTATGGGCTTTCAAAGCTGGCTTTCTCAGGCTTTCAAAGCTGCCGTTTGCCAGCCCGCAAACCCTCCAAAACTCTCCAAACCCTCCAAACCCTCCAAACGCTCCAAACCCTCCAAAACCTGCCAAACCCTCCAAACACCGTCCCCAGCAGGCACCTCAGATCCACAGCAATGACTTTCTATGGGCCTCAAAGCTGCCGTTTGCCAGCCTGCAAAGGATCCAAACTTCCAAAATTCCAAACACCTTCCCCAACATGCACCCTAGGGCCAAGGCAACTCCCCCAACAGGCACCCCAGGGCCAGGCCACAGCAATGGCTTTCTTAGGCTTTCAAAGCTGCCGTTTGCCAGCCCGCAAACCCTCCAAAACTCTCCAAAACTCTCCAAACCTCCAAACCCTCCAAACCCTCCAAAACCCGCCAAACCCTCCAAACACCGTCCCCAGCAGGCACCTCAGATCCACAGCAATGACTTTCTATGGGCCTCAAAGCTGCAGTTTGCCAGCCTGCAAAGGATCCAAACTTCCAAAATTCCAAACCCCTTCCCCAACATGCACCCTAGGGCCAAGGGCAACTTCCCCAACAGGCACCCCAGGGCCACGCCACAGCAATGGCTTTCTATGGGCTTTCAAAGCTGCCGTTTGCCAGCCCGCAAACCCTCCAAAACTCTCCAAAACTCTCCAAACCCTCCAAACCCTCCAAACACTCCAAACCCTCCTAAACCCGCCAAACCCTCCAAACACCGTCCCCAGCAGGCACCTCAGATCCACAGCAATGACTTTCTTGATGCTTTCAAAGCTGCCTTAACAGGGAGCCAGGGCCACAGCAATGACTTTCTATGGGCCTCAAAGCTGCAGTTTGCCAGCCTGCAAAGGATCCAAACTTCCAAAATTCCAAACACCTTCCCCAACATGCACCCTAGGGCCAAGGCCACTTCCCCAACAGGCACCCCAGGGCCAGGCCACAGCAATGGCTTTCTATGGGCTTTCAAAGCTGGCTTTCTTAGGCTTTCAAAGCTGCCGATTGCCAGCCCGCAAACCCTCCAAAACTCTCCAAACCCTCCAAACCCTCCAAACGCTCCAAACCATCCAAAACCTGCCAAACCCTCCAAACACCGTCCCCAGCAGGCACCTCAGATCCACAGCAATGACTTTCTATGGGCCTCAAAGCTGCCGTTTGCCAGCCCGCAAAGGCTGCAACCCCTCTAAAATTCCAAACACCTTCCTTAACAGGGGGCCAGGGCCACAGCAATGACTTTCTATGGGCCTCAAAGCTTCAGTGTGCCAGCCTGCAAAGGATCCAAACTTCCAAAATTCCAAACACCTTCCCCAACATGCACCCTAGGGCCAAGGCCACTTCCCCAACAGGCACCCCAGGGCCAGGCCACAGCAATGGCTTTCTATGGGCTTTCAAAGCTAGCTTTCTTAGGCTTTCAAAGCTGCCGTTTGCCAGCCCGCAAACCCTCCAAAACTCTCCAAACCCTCCAAACCCTCCAAACGCTTTTCCATGGGCCTCAAAGCTGCAGTTTGCCAGCCTGCAAAGGATCCAAACTTCCAAAATTCCAAACACCTTCCCCAACAAACACCGTCCCCAGCAGGCACCTCAGATCCACAGCAATGACTTTCTATGGGCCTCAAAGCTGCCGTTTGCCAGCCTGCAAAGGATCCAAACTTCCAAAATTCCAAACACCTTCCCCAGCATGCACCCTAGGGCCAAGGCAACTTCCCCAACAGGCACCCCAGGGCCAGGTGTTTTCCCATCCGGGGACCAGCAGCAGCAGCAGCAGCAAAAGCTTCTGCAGCAGCAGGAGTAGGCAGCAGCAGGCAGCAGCCAGCACCAGCAGCAAAAGCCTCTGCAGCAGCAGGAGTAGGCAGCAGCAGGCAGCAGCCAGCACCAGCAGCCAGCAGCAGGCAGGAAAAAACATGAGGTTACAATGACAGTCCTAAAAACGGAGGGTCCTTGACACTCAAAGTATATATCAATCCATCCGTCTTTCTTCCTATACCACTATCTATCTATCCAACAATCGATCTATCCATCTGTTTATCCAACTGTCTATCTACCTATCTGTCATCTATCTCTCTCTCTCTCTTTCTCTCTCTCTCCCTCTCTCTCTCTCTCTCTCTGTCCCTCTATCTATACATCTGTCCAACAATATCTATCCACCTGTTTATCAAGCTGTCTATCTACCTATCTATCAATCTATCTCTCTCTCTCTCTCTATCCCTCTATCTATCCATCAATCTATCATCTATTCACATGTCTACCTGTCTGTCTGTCTGTCTATCTATCCATCCATCCATCCGTCCATCCGTCCATCCGTCCATCCATCCATCCATCCATCCATCCATCCATCCCCATCCATCTATCCATCCATCCATCTCTCCCTCTCCTCTCTCTCTCTCTCTCTCTCTCTCCCCCTCTCTCTCTCTCTCTCTCTCTCTCTCCACAGTCCCCCCCAAATAAAGGGGGGTCGGCGGCACCTGGGCGCTAGCCCATTCTATTGTGGTTTCTCCAGTAATGTTTTTTCAACTTTGTTTTGTCACTTTCTGTGGGTTCTACATCCATCAAAGGTACATAAGGGGGTTCCGAGAATTTCCCCTAAACGCATTCCCGGATTCTCCATCAAGGGAGCTGTTTGCGGCAACTTCCTTGCCCTGAGCTCTGAACAGAGAAATTGATAAAGAGTGGGATGATGGATTCTGGAGCATCCTTCTGCAACCACAACCTGAAGCAGAAGAAAAATTAAAATACCATGCCAAGTATGACTGAGTGTTGTTAAATTCAATGCTGGCTATCCATATTGACCTGAAGCAAGACAGTTAGGCCCGGGGCGACAAGTACACGGACTTTCCAGTCCCTGTCTCGCCAGCCACAATGACATGCTTGTCCTCCAGATTGACAAAGCATCACGGCCGAACCACCACGAAATTGGTCTAACAAAGAGAGCAAGGAGAGAGGACAAACCACTTGACTCATTTTGCCGTTGAAGTGTTCAACAAAAGCAGAGGCATCCAGTCCTTCAACAGGAGAGTGGAGAAGGTGTGCGTCAAACGGATGGAGTCCACGGTTGGCCTTGCCAGGTTGAGACGACAGAACTACACTAGTCGTCATTGCTCACAGCAAAGCTCAGTGCTGCAAATGAAAAGTAAGGCCAACACACAACGATATTCTGATACTCAGAGCCTGGGAAAAGAACAGCTTGCAGAATTGCACACTTTACGCAATGAATTAAAGGCCCCGTCCAAGATCACTCAAGCGGGGACTGTCTGAAAAGCTCCAAAGCTAAGGGATCAACGTGGAGGCACCGTATACTTGGGCGCCTCAATTGGCCGAACCCTGAATATCTGCAGCACATTGCACCAAATGTCTTTCCCTGAGGCTGCGCACGAAGGTCAACCAGGGCGTCCATTGGCCTTCTCTTTCACCCTCAGCCAGCAAGACATAGCCAAACTATGTACAGTAGAACCATGTGACATCAATGATGATCCTTGCCATTGACCAGCCTCAAGCTCGTAGATGAAGTCGTACCTCATGCCCAACAATTCAAGGTGCAGACTTAGTTCTACATGGACTTCAACAGGCTTGATCCAGTCCACAAAAAGGAAGATATGGGCCGAGCTGCTCCACTGCAAAAACACAGAGATGATTCAGATATGCACGGCAAAATATGAACTGATCAAGGTCTGTCAAGTTCACCTGAGTGTTGCCAAGCCACCAAAATATGCTGCTGTCCAGCTTGCCTCCGACCTGCTCGCAAACTGACACATTCTGCGGAGACAAACCCATCACCTGGCGTCCTACGTGGGCGTGTCTGAAAATGGGGTGCATTTTCATACAGCATCAGTATACCCCAAAAATAGTGATTTTAAGACAAAAAAAGATGATTAACTCCACACGCTCAAAGCAATCGGCATCCCCACGCGCCTCAACCCCCTTCTCCTTCACCAACTCCCATAGCTTCTCCTAGGCTGTCACCCACCATGTCAACGCGTGAACACTTCCACTCGAGCAGCCCAAACCACCTTTGGGGATGGGAAAGTCTTGGAAAGTCAGCAGTGCAGGCGAGCTGCATTGAAGATCTGACGCCCCTTGTTGTCACAAGTTGCACCTCAATCAACAACTATTGCCTGTTGACCCGCAAAGACTGCAAAGACTATCAGTTGACAGTCTGAGGAAGATCGAATTGTGCAGTTTAATGTATTAATATCATAAACCCAATAATAGACAACCCCCAAATTCACCAGATATGGGTCGTGTAAACCCTCCAAACTTGTAGGTTTATTGTTGGGTGCATCACATTACCTGCTTCAGGCAATAACTGAAGTCTCTTATCTCAGCACTTCACCCACAGACCAAACCAGCGTGAAAAAGTAGAGCGGCACCAAGTGCGACCTAAAAGGCTCTGGCGAAGCCAGCGAATTCCAAGACCAAATGGATTGCATCATTTACAACAAATCTCTCTGCAAAAGGACAAAACTAAGACAACAATATAATAGACCCTCAAGCGCTATCCAGCGCCTATCGATGGAAGGAAAACTTGGGCACAATGGGGTGCAACAAGCCAAGTTTCTCAACTTTGAAATGATCCAACAATCCAACACAGTCCCCCCACGGTCTGAGACGGCAACTGCAATTTGTTGATCTCATCAGGGCTCGGTGTCTTCGCTTCAGTTGGAATGTAGGCCGAAAAGTAGCAATCCATCAACCTGAGAGGTTGCCCTTTCACATTTGCATCATGCAATATGGCTATAGGTCAAATTGGATACCCCAATCACTAGATGGTTGATAAGTTAATACTCAACATCTACATCATTCTACTTCTACATAGTTACTATATCATCTGTGGTCCCCCCCTGACTTCAATGTTGACCCATCCCCATCCCCATCCCGTCATTGCTGCCTGAAGTGCGACTGGCAAATGTTGTTGTCCACCGTCATGGACGGTTCCTTCGTCTGCTTGCGCACGATTCGGATCATCGGCAGGGTGAAATCCTGGGCGAAAGGGGCCTCACAGAATACCTGCAGTTAAAGCCCTAGAAACCAATCATAAATAGTTATAAATGGTTCATTAAATGGTTACTGTAAATAAATGGTTAAATAAATGGTTAAATAAATAGTTAAATAAATGGTTAAATAAATGGTTAAATAAATAGTTATATAAATAGATAAATAAATGGTTAAATAAATTGTTGTAAATGGGTTATCATTCCAAAAGTGTGGTTATAACCGACTCATAAAACTGGTAAAGGGCCATAACAGGCCATAACCGTATGCCCCACAAGGGGGTATTTACACTTCATTATTTACAACTAATGACATCCATAGAATAGCACTAATCACTATTAATCACCATTAATCACCATTAATCACTATTAATCACCATTAATCACTATTAATCACCATTAATCACTATTAATCACCATTAATCACTATTAATCACCATTAATCACTATTAATCACCATTAATCACTATTAATCACCATTAATCACTATAATCACCATTAATCACTCATTATCACCATTAATCACTATTAATCACCATTACACTATTAATCCACCATTATCACTATTATCCCTTAATCACTATTAATCAGTCCCCGCCGCCCCAGTAACACCATGAATCACTACTAATCACCATTAATCACTATTGAATCAACCATTAATCACTATAATCACATTAATCACCATTTAATCACCATTAATCACCATTAATCACCATTAATCACCATTAATCACCATTAATCACCATTAATCACCATTAATCACCATTAATCACCATTAATCACCATTCATCACCATTAATCACCATTAATCACCATTAATCACCATTAATCACCACTAAGCACCATTAATCACCATTAATCACCTCTAATCGCCATTAATCACCATTAAGCACCATTAATCACCATTAATCACCATTACTCAAAATTAATCACCATTAATCACCATTAATCACCATTAATCACCATTAATCACCATTAATCACCATTAATCACCATTAATCACCATTAATCACCATTCATCACCATTAATCACCATTAATCACCATTAATCAACCATTAATCACTATTAATCAACCATTAAATCACCATTAATCACTATTATCAACCATTAATCACTAATTAAATCACCATAATCACGATTCTCACCATTAATCACCATTAATCACTATTAACCACCATTAATCACTATTAACCACCATTAATCACTATTAATCACCATTAATCACTATTAATCACCATTAATCACTATTAATCACCATTAATCACCATTAATCACCATTAATCACCATTAATCACTGTTAATCACCATTAATCACTATTAATCACCATTAATCACTATTAATCACCATTAATCACTATTAATCACCATTTATCACTATTAATCACCATTAATCACTATTAATCACCATTAATCACTATTAATCACCATTAATCACTATTAACCACCATTAATCACTATTAACCACCATTAATCACTATTAATCACCATTAATCACTATTAATCACCATTAATCACTATTAATCACCATTAATCACTATTAACCACCATTAATCACTATTAACCACCATTAATCACTATTAATCACCATTAATCACTATTAATCACCATTAATCACTATTAATCACCATTAATCACTATTAACCACCATTAATCACTATTAACCACCATTAATCACTATTAACCACCATTAATCACTATTAATCACCATTAATCACTATTAATCACCATTAATCACTATTAATCACCATTAATCACCATTAATCACCATTAATCACCATTAATCACTGTTAATCACCATTAATCACTATTAATCACCATTAATCACTATTAATCACCATTAATCACTATTAATCACCATTTATCACTATTAATCACCATTAATCACTATTAATCACCATTAATCACTATTAATCACCATTAATCACTATTAACCACCATTAATCACTATTAACCACCATTAATCACTATTAATCACCATTAATCACTATTAATCACCATTATCCACTATGAATTCACCATTTAATCACTATTTAACCAACCTATTAACCACACCATTACAACGATTAACCAACACCACCATTAATCACTATTAATCCCATTAATCACTATTAATCACCATTATCACCATTAATCACTATTAATCAAGATTAATCACTATTAATCACCATTAATCACCATTAATCACCATTAATCACTATTAATCACCATTAATCACTATTAATCACCATTAATCACCATTAATCACTATTAATCACCATTAATCACTATTAATCACCATTAATCACTATTAATCACCATTAATCACTATTAACCACCATTAATCACTATTAACCACCATTAATCACTAATCACTATTAACCACCATTAATCACTATTATTCACCATTAATCACTATTAATCACCATTAATCACCATTAATCACTATTAATCACCATTAATCGCTATTAATCACTATTAATCACCATTAATCACTATTAATCACCATTAATCACTATTAACCACCATTAATCACTATTAATCACCATTAATCACTATTAATCACCATTAATCACTATTAACCACCATTAATCACTATTAATCACCATTAATCACTATTAACCACCATTAATCACTATTAACCACCATTAATCACTATTAACCACCATTAATCACTATTAATCACCATTAATCACTATTAATCACCATTAATCACCATTAACCACCATTAATCACTATTAACCACCATTAATCACCATTAATCACTATTAACCACCATTAATCACCATTAATCACCATTAATCACTATTAATCACCATTAATCACCATTAATCACTATTAATAACAGTACTTAATAACCAAAGTTACAACTGGGAGCAGAGCGCATCACTGTCCCTGAGGACGCGACCAACATCAGCTCCTTGAGTTTTTCACACATCTCCTGCAGGATTTCTCTATCGGAAAACCCCTAACGTCAGGTCCAATCAAAAAGACACGGAAGAAATCAAAAGCACCTTTGAACAATTTTATATATACAATCATATATAAATAATTATAAATATAATATACTTATAAATTATAACAACTATATATAGTTGGAGCTCTGACCATGTTTCAACAATTCTCAACTTAAGGGTGAAAAGTTCACCCCAGCTTTCCATGTCCATTTCCTCTTTCGCATCCCTCCCAGGCTTCTGTCCGGCTTGAAGGTGGAAGGTAGTCGCTCGGCCCATGACCTCACATGTCACTCTGCACAAGAGCTGTGCCCGAAGGTGGCTTTGTCTGAGACTTGGGTACCCCAAACTCCCCTCGATTATCATGATTCTCATCATTTTCCTTATTCGTGTGGCTATCCCATTTTTAGAGACACCCACCTAGTAAATGGCCTTGCCCATTTGGTGTTGCCGGTCACCGGTATTACATAGCCCTCCAGTCAGTGCCCGACTGAATCAATGGCTCGTTTCCAAGGGCTGACGGTTCCATGTAAACCTCGGGATCAGGTGGAGATGGATGAAGCCATGGTCCCAGAGGCTATTGACTTTAATATATCCAGTGTCTGGTGTCTCGAGTGAATATAGATGATATAGATTGATATATAGATGTATATTAGACTTTTTTTCCTTGAAACATTGTTACTTATAGTAACTTTAGTAATTTGAGTATTGGATCTCTTCATTTTTGGGACCTTGATTTTGGGCATCTGAGGACCTCACCATACCACATCGACTCACCGTGGCAGGCGATGCAACCGACAGGTCCTCCACTTCAAAGACCATCCTGCCGAGGCAACCAACACCAGAGTGGTTTCTGGGGAATGTTAGTTGAATACTAGTTGGATGATGTTGGATGGGATTAGGAGTATTAGGAAGTTACAAAAATGTTAAAAATCCTTATTAAATATGATTGAAAAAATAAACCATTCAGCCTTTGGCGGGGATGAAAATCGGTGACTTAATGACCCAAACCCATTTGGATTTGATGTACTTCGATACCCAGCAGCAGGATGGCCCACCTCATCTGCGGTGTGAGCGAAATGATCTCTCCGGAAGTGAGGCAAAGCTTCTTGTTGTCGTCCAGCACGGTGTTCATGGACCTCGGCAGCTGTGAGCTCATCATCTTAAGAATCTTTCCCATCATTGGGCATATGGTGCAAGATTTTATAGATCAAAAATTGATGAAACATTGAAAACATCATGAGAAATAATCCAGAAATGAGTTTGGATCTGGAATTTCGTATCAAGAGAAAGCTTTGCAAAGTCAATGAAGGTCCTCCAATTGTCCGAATCCACTGCCCTCTGCGACTCCGGGCTCGATCCAAAGAGCATCGACAGGTCCATCGAAAATCACCTGGGAGGAAAAGGCAGACCCATGGCAGATCCATCGACAGATCCATACAGATTGCATCCCTCTAAGGCATCAACCCAGTGGTTGTCGGGCACTCCTGACTTTCCACTGGCCACAGCAGTTCGCACCTTGCTGACCCCATGTTTTGTTCATCGGTTTGCTGGCCCTACGTTTTGAGGCTCCCTGAGTGCATTCTACCTAGACCGTCGCACGTGATCATTGCTCCTGCAAATTGAGTAGTCTGGTCCTAAAAATAAGCTGTCACGATGCTAATCCAATGTGCAAATTGGATCTGGAGAGAGTTGAATCCTCAATTATATACGTATATTGTATAAAGTGCTTCAAGTGCAAGACTTGAAAGACAACACCACACACATAAATATGGTAACAAGATGTAACAGTATCAACTCTATCTTTATGTGCAAAACGGCAACCTTTTATTGAAAAACCGACCAAAAATTATGAAAAATGCCCGGCCCAAAAGCCAAAGAAGCCCCAACAAAGTCCCTTCATGGTGTTTAGATCAACTTGCTGTTGGTCAGTCTCTTCATTTGTTGGCTGAGTTTCATAGATTAACAGTCCCTTTGGTAGCCGATTCTTTGAGCCACACTGACACCCATGTAGCGCCACATCCCATCTTGAGCTTGCCACGCATTCACTTGCCACTCCATCCGACCACTCACGTGTCACTTCATCGAAAGCCCCGTAGAGCTGTGCCTGCAGTTTCCACCAGGCTACTATAGTACTCCCAAACCAATCATCTAGTTATTGACAGTTCTCCCATGACATCTCAGTATATCAACAGATAATGATCCAAGTTTGGATTACAGCAAAAGCGTTGACACAATTGACATATGTCTTACAATGTCTTACAATGTCTTACAATAATTTCTCCAGTACTCTGACCCAGTCGCCTGTGTGATGGCTTTGGGGTTCAAGATGTGGGTCTGAACCTTCTGGTACTTTGTGTCGCCAGCCTTTCAAGGTCCGAAAACACACTGCAGCTTGACAGGTTGTGCACATCACGTGCCGAATTCTGGGAATCGCAAACAAAGCAGGCACATCGGTTTCTTGGTCTCATGAGAAACATTGCACAAGAATCTTTTGCAAGCGCTTTGGTTCGTCACCAAAGCCAGAATGCCTCACACATCGCAATGGAGGTTGCTTGAAGCAAACGGTAGTTGCAGGTCTTACCACCTGCAGTGCTCGGACTGAAAAAACACTGGGCTTGGAGCTACCCCAGAATCGTGACCCAACCGCCTTCACAACGATTCAAAACCCAAATGGATGCTGAGGTTTGAAACAGCAGTTCGGTCAGTTCGGTCTTTCAACCCAACACTATATCCAACCAAAGAAAAAACAATTGTTCAAGACTCTCTGCGGTCCCTTTACACTGGCTGGCAGGATTTCCCAGTTCATGGATTAAAATCCCCAATGACTATTGGCTAGTATAATCCCCAAACATTTTTCATCAACCAACATCAACCAACGTTTATCTGGCTGATATTATCCCCATATTTCTGGATGATCTCCCCATCCAAAAATGGTGGGGACCCCCTCGGCCCCCACCAGCATGGCCTCCGGTTGGCCCCACCAGCATCAAACCGTGGCGCACCCCGATGGTGTCAATGAGCTGCACCACCTGTTGGGAATGCTGACGTCTTGCGGTTATGATATGGAATTGATAACTGTAATGATAGTGGCAGTAGTAATGATAGGAACAATATATAGATGATAATACTAGTAAGAAGTAATAATCATCTAATACGGTATAACAAGACCGTATTAACAAATGGCAAAGTTTTGCAGAATTCTTGTTGGGGATGTTGAGTTTTGACTCCCATATCATTTATACAATGCCTTGATGGTGAAGTTTTCCGTGAGCTGCAGATTCTGCTCCTGGAACAGCAAATTGCCATAGAACAAAATGTGGGAATCTTTGCACTGACATGTGTGTTCTGACACACATGTTATACCTGCAAAAATTGTTGAGCTGGAGTTCATATTCATGACCAGTATGCAACACTTTTTTGAAGTTATTACACAACAGTTTTTGATCGGTATCCATGTTGGACGGACATCAACCAATATGTGACTTGCCAAAACACAGAGTCCAACAACCTGCC